ATGGATTTGAGTCCGATTTGACTAATTGAAGTTCCCCCTCTTCCAGTGGCGTGTTCGAGTTGGCAGTTTGGAATTTGGAGATGACCAAGATACGAGCTCGATCAGGAGGTGATTCGGTGGAATACATGCAACGAACCAAGATGGACGATAGGATATGCGCGCTACAGCAATGAATTAGGCAAACGTCGGACAAAAACGTATTGTGACGATCGTAGAATTATGAATTTTTAAAAAATTTTAAGTAGGTTAGATTAGAGTAGATTTACATCTTTTAAAGAGCCTTTATCCTGGTAAGAGTAGGACTCGCATTTAATGCAGCTACATTTTTTCATCCATTTTAGCTGGATTCCATGTCGACACGGTCTATGCCCAACTTATGACTGATTCTGGGCCTAAAACAGGTGTATAATACCGCCCCGTAATTTTTTCCATTTGGGCTGAAAATGTGCGTTTGGATGGGCTGTGATCGGATTACAATCCGTCGGAAAAGGCCCATTACTACCAGGGAAAAAAACTGCCCAGGAGTCTCGCCTTGCCCTCTCGCCGTCCGTGCCGCCGCCGCCGCCGCCTGCATCTCCCCTTCCTAATCTGTGACGACGGCCGGAGACACCGTACGTTCTGGCTGGCTGCAGAGGAGAGATCAGAGGAGAGGGATATGGTCCAAGGCGACAACAGCAACAACATCAATTGCCACTGGGGACATATCCTCTCGTCTCTCGACCAATGCAAGGCATGGAAGCAGTTATGGCCAGTTGAATTTGGATTGGAGTTTTTGTTGATGATTTTTACATCTGCGGTGTTTGATTCTAGTTTGCTTCGTTGCCAATGTTCATTGCTCTACTATTTCATGAATTGATTTTGGATCCTAGCTTAGCACTCTTCAATATTTCCATATGCTAGGTAACATCCATCACCCAACAAACGGTTTGTCTACCAAGGGAAATTTATTTCACTGGTAATTATGGGTAACACAAAATTACACTCGTATTTCAATCACAGACAGTTGATTTGTATTTTGTATTCTACTCCCTCCATTTCATAATGTAAGTCATTCTAGCATTTCTCACATTCATATTTGTCTAGATTCATTAACATCAATATGAATGTGAGAAATACTAGAATGACTTACATTATGAAACGGAGGAAGTATCTATGTTGTTTGTAACCTGTATTGCAAGCTTAAATGCTCAGACTATGTCTCTTTGGGGCTACGTACATCCTACGGGATGTAGAGGCTGTATATGACATGTGAGTCCTCATGTGTCCATAACATGTAGATCCAGTGGTAAATAATTTAGCACCACTCGTAATAGTAGCATATAGTTAATTATTCCGGGGTTTAATCCATTATTAAAAAAATTAAATAGGAATATTAAATATGAAACTCTTATTCTTTTTTATCTATGGAAGGGGCAAAAATATTCAGAACCCCTTTCTTAACTTAAGGTTTCCAATCTTCACTTTCTCGTTTTTCGCACGCACGCTTTCCAAAATACTAAATAGTGTGCTTTTAAGAAATATGGCCCTGTTTAGGTCCCACCCTAAAATTTTTCACCATGTCATATCGAACGTTTGAACACCTACATGAAGTATTAAATATAGGCTAAAAAATAACTAATTGCACAGATTGCGACTAATTTGCGAGACGAATCTTTTAAGCCTACTTGCTCCATGATTTGATAATATGGTGCTACAGTAAATATTTGATAATAACGGATTAATTGGGCTTAATAAATTCGTCTCATGGTTTACTGACGGATTCTGTAATTATTTTTTTATTAGTGCTCGAACACCCCATGCGGCACCATATATAATACCCGATGTGACACGTTAAAACTTTACACCCCTGAATCTAAACACCCCCTATATATATAGAAAAGTAGACGTGAAATATCATATTAATTTATTTTTCAAAGTTTTTAAATAACACATAATTAATTATGTGTGAATTTGTTGCTCCGTTTGTTGAGGGGAGGGTTACCCTCCAAAAGAACACAACCGAAGTATCTGTTGTTATCGATTGAAGGTGCTGTTTTCATAACCAACATGTCCAACAATGCGAAATTTTTGGACGATTTTGTTGAGTTGAGATATCGCAAACTTGACACCATAAATCATCTCAGAATAGTGAACTCTGAAGTAGTAGCATTTCACGCTCCCACAAGATCGGAAATCGGAACTATGAGTTTCCCAGCATCTAGCTTTTAGTTTATTTTTTGAATTCTACAACTTTAGAATCTTGATAAAGAAACTAGAGTTTGGGAGAGTTTATAATTCTATGAAAAGGTGCAGCAGCTAGAAGCTCTCCAAATAGGCCCTATAATGTTTACTACCTCTATTTTAGATTATAAGACTTTCTAGCATTATCCACATTTATATAGATGTTAATGAATCTAAGCACACATATATATCTAGATTTATTAACATATATATGAATGTGGACAATGCTAAAAAGTCTTATAATATAAAACGGAGGAAGTAACTTACACTTCTGCTCTGTTACCACGGTACGAACCGTAAAAACACTTTTATGGTAACTTTACGACGATGCTCTCAGTATTATCAACATTATCATTCATTAAAGATGATTTTAACAGTTGATTTATATGAGTTATTATACTATATCACTAGAAAACTAGTATTCTGTTGTGAGTAGTTATAAGGTGGTAGGCTGGTGACCGTTATAAAATACCCCTTTCGTTTCACTATATAGCGACCTAGGATCAGATTAGGACGAATCAGTATCTGTACCCTGCAGTACCGTCCTATTTTGGATATGTTTAGTTCACGCCAAAATTAGAAGTTTGGTTGAAGTTGAAAGTTTGTGTATAGGAAAGTTCTGATATGATGAAAAAATTGGAAGTTTGAAAAAAAAATTTAAAACTAAACTCAGCCTTTAGTAGAATTTGATAGTGGCAGCTACCACTTCCACTTGTGCGTGCCGTTTCGGACATTTTGCACTGCAGCTTTCAATACCAAGCCCGAACGTTGAACGGAAACAGCGGATGTAGTACTAGCAAATAAATTCGGGCAGATGAGCACCAATAAATGGGTCATCACTCATCAATCTTGTGGTAATCTGTTTGGCCTTCATTGCACTCTCAATGCTCTACAGAAAAGAACTGAAGGCGTTTGGACATAACAATACACATCATCAACATCTCGCGTACATCCTCCGTCCCAATTAAAACTAACTTTATAGCTACAAATTTATAGCTAAAAGTTAACTTATTTTAAATAGAGGAGTAAGTGTTTTCACTTGAAAAAACTCAAGCTTGTCAAGTTATCATTCTTATGTTTGGCCTGTTGCTTTGTGGTCAAAATATTGGGTCGAATCATCTATTACTACTAGCATTAATGTGGCTCCTTAAATGGTCCCTTAGAGAGCGATTGTTGCAGGCGAGAGAATTTATATCTGTCCGTAACTTACCGAGAGTCTCCTCCAAAAAATCAAATCTATAGTACTATCTTTGTTTTAAATTATAAGTCGTTTTAATTTTGATCAAAATAAACTGCTTCAAATTTGTAAAAAAATTGTAACATTTTCAATCCAAGACAAATATATTATGAAAATATGTTAAAATAAAACTAATTTGTTGCTGTAAAAATTAATATATTTATCTATAAAATTAGTCAAATATTTGGAGTAATTTGACTTTCATCAAAGTCAAAACGACTATAATCTGAAACTGAGGGAGTAATGAAATAGTGATTGATCTATCTCAGGACTTCGCTCTTAGGGCATGAGGTCGTTTTTAGAATGAAGTAATTTCACAGGAATTGAAATCCATGTAAAATTTCTGAGTTTTGAAGTAGGATTTTTCTCTCTCCATTTTAGCTGGATTCCAGTCAACAGCCGTTTAGGGGTATTTGTTGTTATAGTAGTGATTGAAGTTTGGAAGCATGTAAGAATTCTTCTCAGTTATAATTCTTTTATGACATGGAAAAATACCCTAAAAACAGCCGTTTGGAAAAAAAATCTTACATATTTTTAAGTTTTCACACAATCATTAATCTCTCTCATGATATGAGTTTTTCTTCTTTTTCCTATTCGTTAGCTGGACACCCACCTATAATAAAGTTATAATCGATCGTTAATTATTAATCCAAACCCACATCGTTTTATTCAAGTGCACACAGTATCTATGCCAACACCGCTCGGCGAGGGCTCTTTAAGTCCCGGTTTACAATCTTTTTTAATTTAGTTCTGGTTTGCAAACTGGAACGTCCAATTAGGGACTAAAGATGTGGTTAAAATAAATATGGTAACGCTAGCCAGTCCACTAGAGTTTTTTTTTCTTTTTTTTTCATTGTTTTTTTCATTCATTAGTTCACTAAAGTCATATATTGATTTCAAGCACCAACGTCGTCATCCCTAAATCCCCACAAATCATGCACAACGAATCATTCACAATTCATAGGCCCATCCACAAAATCATCCACAATCCACAAACCATTTATAAAATCATCCACAAAATCGTCACCAAATCTAAAAAAATCTACAACAATATTTACGAATCATTCACAAAATCTAAAAAATAAATCCACAGCCACAGTCGCCGCCGGCTGCCCAACCGTGCGCCGCCTCCCAGCCTCCTCTCTCGTCGGATCTGGCGAAGGGGAGGCCACCACCAGCCGCCGCGGCCGCTTCCGCCAGGCTGTCGCTTGCCCTCCCCTTCCGTAGGATCTGGCGGAGGGGAGGCCGCCGCCCGGCGTCGCCGTCGTCGGAGGAGGGGGGAGGGGGAGGGGGAGGGGGAGGAGAGGGGAAGGAGAGGGTGAGAAAATGAGAGGGGAGGAGGAGATAAGGACGAGGCGCACGGTTCAAGGCAGCAATTCACGATTTTTTTTTAATTTTGGTGGGACTAAAGATAAAAAGAACCTATGGACTTTTGAACCGTTCCTACTTGAACAGGGACTAATATGATTTTTGCATGTCCCAGTAAAGATCACTTCTCCACTAGTGCACGTATCATGGCCGCACCAACGGGAGGCGGCGATCAAGCCTAGAACAGATAATGAATTAAACCGGCCTCTACCTCCAAAACGAATGTACACACAGCTATCATACTCCAATTAACACAAGATGAAATTCAGAGTTCAAACTTCAAATACCAAAAAAAAAAGGCACATCATCGATCGATCAAACATCGCGTACTGGATAATTATTAATTCAAACTCACGCCCTTTTCTTCAAGCGCACGTACACACCACGCGTATATATGCCACGTACGCATCATGGCCGGCGGCGGCGGGAGATCGAGCCTAGCAGCTGGGAATGGGGATGCCGCAGGCGGCGATGGTCTTGCGTGCGTTGGTGTTGTTGACGTAGGACGCGTACGTCGGGTCTTTCGCGTACTGGCAGAGGCACCCCTCCTTCTGCTGTGCGCGTAGGTTGGAGCAGCACGACTCTGATGGCGCCGTCCCGTAGAAGATCGGGCTCACGCACGCCGATAGCTGCTCAGGGTCACACTGCGCCGCCACCACCGCTACCGCCGTCGCTGCTGCCGTCAGCAGAAGCATCTCCATCACAGCTGCCCACTTCACCATTGCTCGAGCTAGCTCTAGCGTAAGAACTGCTTGGTTACTAGCCGAATGTGATCGAATGTTATCGATGTGGTGGTGTAGGGAAAGGATGCACATCAGGGTATTTATAGACGAGATGTCAGAAAGCAGGCCATGCATTTCGTGTATACTCCTTTCGTACCAAAAAACAAATTCAGGCTTTGTCGTAGTAGTAGTAGTACTAGTGCCAGAGCTGTTCTTCTTCTCTAGCAAAACGGAGGAAGAATGGATGAAGAAGAAAGAGACATGGATCTATCCTCAGTTTCGTGCATTTTGGATACTCGTATACATATGCATTTGGGTTTCTTTGACTAGTAACAATGGATCGATATATATGTACGCGTGCAGAAAATTGGTGTCTGCCAAATTAATTGGATCACAACAAGAACAGGATCGCACCAAGGAAATCATCCAAGCAGACAGTATAAGTTTGCAGGCAGGCATCCATGGGGCATCTTATTTGTTTTTTGTGGACACTCGAAACCAATTCAAAACTTTTTACATCAACATGCATGTATCAAGCTTAATTTGTTGTTTGTGTTTGGACGCCAGTAAGAGAAACCATCTTTAGTCGGTCAATCCAAATCCACAATAGTTACAATTCCATTAAAAACCGGGACTAAAAAGCAGTTTATAAATATAAAGGGACTGTGTGATCTTTAGTCCCGGTTAGTAACACCAACCGGGAGTAAAATTAAGATGATCTTTAGTCCCGGTTCACCTCGTGTCAGAGGCTGTCAGGTCCCAGATATTTTTAGTCCCGGTTGGTAACATTAACCGGGACTAAAATCCTAACTTTAGTCCTAGTAGTTGTTCCCAATCAGGACCAAAAATCAATATACCGTGTATAATCTCTTGCTCTCTTATCCTCAAAATTTTCTATCTCCTATTCATCCTCTCTCTCACTCTTGTCCTCTATCCTTCTCTTTCTATTCCTCATCCTCTCACAGTTGCTACCGACGAGGAGCGAGCGGTGGCCAGCGAGGCTGGCGGCGGGGTATGGTTGGCGGCGGCCGGATGGGGGCGGCGGCCCGCGGCGGGAAGCAGGAGGAGGCGGCGGCGCGACAGGAGCTCGCTGCGGCCGGATTTCTTTTTTTTTCTTTTTTTTAAGAATTTATGATTTATTGGATCTGTGTTATTTGATCTATGATGTATTTGTGATGTAATTTTTTTTTAGAATTTGTGATGTTTCTTTTCGACAAGTTGTGATGTGAATATTATGATTTGTGTTATTGTTACTTTGATCTGGAGATGTAGGGAGCATCTCTATTTGGAATTGTGATGATTTTGGTGAGATTGGTGTGAAATCAATATGGAAAAAAAAAGAGAAGAATGGGACCAGAGACGTGGCGCTACCCTCACCAACCGGGACTAAAAGATTCCCCTCTTTACTCCCGGTTGGTGTTACTAATCAGGATTAAAGATCGATATTTAGTCATGGGTATTTGAACCAGAACTAAACATAGCGATTTTTAATCCCGAATTCATAGAAAAACCGAACTACAGAGGGTTCTAAACCGAGAGTAAAGAGCATTTCTTCACCATTGTTTTTTTAACTGGTTATCGGGGGAAGAGCTTTCCCACCTGAATTTCATTAAAGGGAGAAACAATACATATGATTAGTTTGTTACATTGGGGTGCAGCAAGGAGGAAAGAATTTCTTTCCAGATTCTACTGCAATCCTGTCGGCGCATTTTAACCTTTCCGTCCTGAGGTTTGCATCTTCTAGACATTTTGAAATTAGCCGGGCGGTGGAGGCCGGAGGGGTTCTGCTTTCTGAAGACGACGTCTGCCGATGATTCAACAGCCCCCAGAAGCGGAGGTACTAGAAGATTTCGAAGTGTTTGGTCGGAATCCGGCTTGGTCTGGGCAGATTGTGAAGCTCCTGCATAGAGGTGATGTTCAGGTTGATTTGCAAGGAATTCCAGAATGCAGCTACGAAGGGGCATCTGTTTTTAAATACGAGTAGTTGTTGTTGATTATCACTGTGCTACATATATCAACTTTATATTCCCGAGAATCCATTTTCTCTCTCGCTCCCAGCGACGTCGTCATATCCATGTACACAGGTTGCTTGAGCTTGAGGAGCATCCCTCGTACCCGCGCTGCACGACACCTACTCCCTCCGTTCGAAGAAAAAAAAAAGACAAACTCTATATTTTCGTGTCCAACGTTTGACCGTTCGTCTTATTTAAAAAAATTATAAAAAAAATTAAAAAGACAAGTCACACATAAAGTATTAATTATGTTTTATCATCTAACAATAATAAAAATACTAATTATAAAAAAAAATTCACATAAGACGGACAGTTAAACGTTGGACACGGAAATCAGGACTACTCGACAGGGTCGCTGAACGCAAAAAGCTCTGAGTGTGGCCGCGTGTGGACATCGCGACATCTAGTGGCCACACTAGATGTCTTTTTAAACACGTCAATGGCTAACGGTAACGGAGACGGCTAACGGTTCTACAAATCGATGTTAACAGTGAATTGTGGCTTCGAACTAGAGCTGGAGCTGCCCTTAACATCCAATTATCTCGATTACGACTCTGTTCTTGGAGCTTGACGTAGTCTTAAAATGTTGGAAAAAAACTCAAGCTTGTAAAGGTGTCATTCTTAATTATGTTTGTCCTGCTCCTTGATGGTCAAAATATTGGTTCGACTCATTTATTAGCATTCCTCTACCTGAGGACTCTGTTCTTAGAGCGAAGGAATTTTCCCGAAAAAATTAAATCGACGGAATTTTACGGAGAATTAAACTTAATCATATGAAATTCCTGTAAAATTTATGTGTTCTGGATTGGCATTTAATACCAGTTTAGTGGTATTGTTTTGCTGTTATACTAGGTAAAACCCCGCGCGTTGCTGCGGAAAACGCGCGGGAATTTTAGTATGTAACAATAAGTAAAAATAGCTAAACAATATAAACTTGCATAAGCACTAAAATCAATTGATGTGATATGGCTGATAGAGAAGATAAAAAATAACATTAACTAAGTGAGGATGAACTTACGTAAGTAAATAAGATATTATAAAGAATAATGAAGATATATATTGAAATATTATGTTAATTATGTGGGATGATAATTTAATATACTTTTATTTTAAAAGCTCTAAAATATAAAAAAATTAAATTATAGATAATATAGCATGTTTGCATGATATTAAATGTATTGATTGTTAGTGGATGATGATGTATCAACTTGTTAGTGGATGATAATGTGGCATATTTGCATGTTAAGTTTTAGAAGTCAGTAGGTTATAACTTTATTATAATATAATAAGATAGGATTAGGGACCGAAGGTATCACCCTTTCTATAGGAAACACTCACCTTCAGAAGGTCCTCCCTCGTGTTCTTCCCCCAAACCATATGCAAGGTTCAAGGGCTGAGAAGACTCAATTGAGATTTGGGAAAACAAAAAAAAAGTGTTGGTAGGAAAAAATTTCTTACGTGCATGCTTTTGAGTTTTCACTTAATGTCTTTTACGTTCCGAGGTTTTCTCTCCTTTTTAAGACCACCAGTAAAATTATCGTGGGAAAAAGGTTGACAACCAGTAAAGTCATTAGGAAAAAAAAAGGTCCATTTTACTTGTACTTTGTGAAGAAAATTGAGTATATCATTTTCTTTTCAAGTACAAGTTGGACGCACGCACGTATCATCTATTCATCTTGGTTTTGATCATATCAGAACGCTCGTATTATCCCAGGGTTCAAATTTGTTTATGAGAAATTTCAATCGAGAGATTGGGGTAGTACAAACTAGACAACACAGGCTGTGTTTAGTTCCCTTCAAACTTCCAAAAATTCCGTCACATGTTTAGACATATGCATAGAGCATTAAATGTGGATGAAAAAACCAATTACACAGTTTGCATATAAATTGCGAGGCGAATCTTTTGAGCCTAATTACGCTATGATTTGACAATATGGTGCTACAGTAAACATTTGCTAATGACGGATTAATTAAGCTTAATAGATTCATCCCGTAATTTACAGGTGAAATCTGTAATTTGTTTTGTTATTAGTCTATATTTAATACTTCAAATATGTGTCCGTATACTTAAAAAAGAATTTGAAAAGGAACTAAACACGGCTATAGATGAGCTCAAGATATATAAACTGATGACCAAATTCGGAATTCAAACTTTGAATACCAAAAAAACACACCATCGACACCGATCAAATTAACTCACGTCCTTTATTCAAGCGCACGTACACACAGTATATATATATATATATATATATATATATATATATATATATATATTTGCCACGCACCATGGCCGGCGCCGGCGCCGGCGAGCGGCGGCGCGCGGCGGCGGGAGATCGAGCGTGCCTAGCAGCGGGGGATGGCGATGCCGCAGGAGGTGAGGGTCTTGCGGGCGTTGGCGCTGTTGATGTAGGAGGCGTACGCCGGGTTGCGCGCGTACTGGCAGAAGCACCCCCTCTGCGCGCGCAGGTTGGAGCAGCACGACGCCGACGGCGTCGACCCGCCGATGATCGCGCCCGCGCAGATCGCCAGCTGCCCGGCGTTGCACTGCGCCGTCGCCGGCGCCGGCGCCCACGCCGCCGCCAGCAGCAGCACCGCCATGATCGCCGCCCACTTCGCCATTGTTGCCACGAGCTTTTGCTTTGCTTGTGAGATGGTCGGTCGAGTGATCGATCGATATCGATGCAGTTGGCTGCTGGCTGCTGCTTAATTTGGCTGTTGGTTTGGGTATTTATAGACAGGAGGTGTCGGCGTGTCGCAGAAAGCAGAGGTTAATGTACAGAGATGTACTCCATCATTTTCTAAATAAATTTAAGTCTGTAGTTTAAATTTTATCATAGAATAATAATTAAACGGTGTATGATATATATATATATATATATAGACACACACACTACTTTAAATGACGATGTTAGTGGTGATGTCTGGGTTTGCATCCAAAGTCATGAAGTACTCATGCACACATTAATGTTTTTCTTTGGATGTATTATATGCCTAATCTATTATATTATTAAAGTAATAGAAAAGGGAGCCTCCACGTTCGCTCTCATGGCTTAGAAATTCTCACATTAATCGGAGAAAAAGAAAAGGCAGAGTCCATATAGAAATACAATTTAGAAATAGCTGAAATTCGGAATTAAAAAAATAAGAAATATTAGAAGAGGAGACTAGAGTCCATATAGAAATACAATTAGGAAATAACTGGAATTCAGAATTAAAAATTAAGGAATATAAGAAGAGGAGACTAGAGTCCATATAGAAATACAGTTAGGAAATAACTGAAATTCGAAATTAAAAAATAAGGAATATTGGAAGAGGAGACCAGAGTCCATATAGAAATACAATTAGGAAATAACTGAAATTCGGAATAAAAAATAAGGAATATTAGAAGAGGAGACTAGAGTCCATATAGAAATACAATTAGGAAATAATAGAAATTTGGAATTAAAAATAAGGAATATTAGAAGTAAGTATAGAGTCCATATAGAAATACAATTAAGAAAAAAAATAGAAATTAGGAATTAAAAAGTAAGGAATATTAGAAGTAGAGTATAGAGTCCATATAGGAATTTAAAACTAACTAAAATTTGGAATAAACATAATAAAATTAAAAAGTAGAGTTTAGAGTCCGTGTAAAAATACAATTTACAAATAACTAAAATTCGAAATTAAGATAAACATGGGAAGAAGAGTTTAAGGTCAATATAGGAATACAAATATAGGAATACAATTTAGAAGTAACTGAAATTCGAAATTAAAAATTTAAAAATATTGAAAGATAAGTTTAGAGTCCACATAGAAATACAATTAGAAATAATAAAAATTCAGAAATAAAAATAAATAATATTGAAAGAAGAGCATAGAGTCTATATAGAAATATAATTTACAGAAAATTCAGAATTAAAAAAAGAAATATTAAAAGACGAGTCTAGAGTACATATAGGATATATATAATTTACAAATAACTAAAAATTGATATTAAAAATAATTAATAACTAACATGTATATAAAATATAATATGAAAATTCAGAAATAAAAATAAATAATATTGAAAGAAGAACATAGAGTATATATAGAAATACAATTTACAGATAATTCGAAATTAAAAAAAAAGAAATATTAAAAGATGAGTCTAGAGTCCATATAGGAATATAATTTAAAAATAACTAAAATTTGATATTAAAAAGTTAATAACTAACACGTATATAAAAATACAATATGAATATTACAAATTAGTAGTTTCGTAAAATTAGTACAAAATTTAAAATTATGTTGCCATTTTAATATATTTGAATAACACATTGAGAAAACATATATGCTATTATACGAGAGAAAATATAATGATGCTATCCGCGCAGATTGCGCGGACCACCATGCTAGTTAACTAACTATGCTATAAGTTTATAAGTTTTGCTTTTGCCTTAAATCTCTTGTAATATTCGTTGCAAAGCACGGAACGTTAGTTAGTCTTGGAAAAAAAATAAATAACAGCTAGAAATAAGCGGTTTGAAAACCGATATTGAAAAATAAATTACGATAAAAGAGCTTTAAAAAATTTATATTTATATTTTTCTACAATTATATAACAGGTAGATGATGCATGCATAACCAGATTTTTAGGAAAATGAGAAATCAGGGCTGCAACTGCCTCTCAAACAGGAAAGCGAGTGCATTAATGTACTGAATGACACGTACCTGAAATTTTCCCTGCCGGCAACGTCCCAAGTTTATGCCTGATCGGTGCAAGGCATGGGCATGCTGGCGACGAAATCATGAATTGAAGCCTTCCCAGATTTGCAGGTAATTAAAGTTGGCTTCGTCACAAACCATCAAAAGTAAACAAACCATATTTTTTTCGGACGACCGATCAAATTCGACGGACGTTACATTGATAGGGTTTTGGTCAAAGAAAAAGAAAAAAGAAGAAGAGAAAAAATGGTATATATATACCTACGTGTAAATAGGCCCCGTCTAGTTATCCAAAATTTTTTCCCAAAAACATCACATCGAATCTTTAGATACATACATTAAGTATTAAATATAGATAAAAATAAAAACTAATTGTACAAATCTCGAGACGAATCTTTTGAGCCTAATTAGTCCCTGATTAGCCATAAGTGCTACAGTAACCCACATGTACTAATGACGGATTAATTAGGCTCAAAAGATTCGTCTCGTGGTTTCCAGGCGAGTTATGAAATTAGTTTTTTCATTCGTGTCAAAAACCCGTTCCGACATCCGGTCAAACATCCGATGTAATACCTAAATTTTTTTTTCACAAACTGAACAGGGCCTAACCTTGGACGTAGCTCTCCTACCTCCTCTCGTGGCACGTAAACAAACCATATTGCACAACAGACTGGTTTTGCGCCTATTTCACTGAAAAAGTTTTGCATGAATTTAAGTGGAATTAACTTAGAATTGGATTTCATACAATCTAGTACAACAAATCTGAACATAACAAATCTCACTATTAGAAAAAGCATTTTTTCCCTGATGTGGGGGTTTTATTTTCGTAGGTGGGCATGACCCTTAGAGCCAAATGACTGCCTACAAAAATATAAATCGGGTAAAATTTACTGTCCACCTGCGAAAATAGACTTGAATATAAATAGACTTGCGGGCGCTACATTTTTTCTAACTCTCACACCTCTCCTCCCCTCCCCACCGGTCTCTCCCCTCCCCTCTCCTCTCACACCTCCTCACCGGCCTCTCCCCTCCCCTCACCTCCCCTCCTCTCCCCTCCGGCCCTCCCCTCCCCTCTCCTCTCCCCGACCGCAGGCCGGAGGCGGCGGCGGCTCCCGGCGGTGGCGGCGTGTGTTCCCGACGGCGGCGGCAGAGGGCGGCAACAGCGAGGAGGGTCGAGGCGGCGTGGCTCCCGGCCACGGCGGCGAGGGGGATTGAGGGGGCAACGGCGGCTCCCGGCCCCTCCCTCCCAGATCTGGTCGGAGGGGGGCGAGGCGCAGCCGTGCGGCAGCGGCGTGGATGACGGCGGGCCGCGGCCGTGATTTTAGGAATGTTTTTATTTGCTTTCTTTGCTAGAATTGATTCGGTGATTTTGGATGAACTGGATGAATTTATTCGGTGATTTTTGGATGAACTGGATGAATTGAATTTGGATTCACTCGATTGGATAGGGAATGAGTGGGAACTGGAATGGGAACGGGAAGCTACCGCCGGAAACGGCGGTGGCTGCCTTTTTCTTTTAGCGCAAGAAGCTATTTTCGCAGGCGGACCTATTGCACGCCTGCGAAAATCAACTATTTTCGCAGGCGTTGAGATGCAGACAGATGGCTTGTCCGCCTGCGAAAATATGATTGGCCAGTCTGGAAAAACACTTTTTCTAGTAGTGTCTAATTCTAGATTAGTTTTTTATAGGATGGACGGAGGCGGAATCACTAATACACGCGCGTGCACTGACGGCGCGCGTTTCAGGCCTAGAGGCCCAGCGCCGGCGCACGCACGCCTCCTCCCATATTTTTTTGTTTTCTTGATTTTTTCGTTTTTTCCCACTTTTTTATGATTAATTTTTTAATCTTTAGCATGTTTTGAGTTTGAAAGTGTTTAAATTTTGAGTTGAAAATTTTCAAATCTGAACTTGGAAGTTTTTAAATCTCGACTTGAAAGTTTTCGATCAAATCTCGAGTTGAAAGTTTTCAAATCTTGATTTGAAAATTTTCAATTTTTTTCAAATCTCGACTTGAAAATTTTCGAATCTCGAGTTGAAAGTTTTCAAATATCGAGTTGAAAATTTTCAAATCTCAAATTGAAAGTTTTCAAATTTTTCAAATCAGAACTTGAAAGTTTTCGAATCTCGATTATCGAGATGAAAGTTTTCGAATATGAGTTGAATGTTTTCAAATCTCAAGTTGAAAGTTTTCAAATCTGAGTTGAAAGTCTTTAAAATTTAAAACTTAAATCGAAAGTGTTCAAATATCCAAAAATTTAAAACTTAAAAAAATTTTCAATATGTTAGTAAAAGAATATCAAAAACTCTCTAGAATCTATACTAATTACTATTATTAGTGTTAAGTATATTAACTAATATAGATAGTTACTAAAGGGAAAGGAGAAGTGCTCGCCGCTGGCTAGCAGCTCCCGGACGGAGGACACAGTAGATCGAATCGAAGCACGCAACCGTAGTAGCAGATGCGTGCACGTAACAGCGGTTCATCCTACTTGGCATATTTGGATGCAACGCTTGATTACCATGCATATGAGCATATCGTTATGATCAGACGGAAGACAGATGAGCATGGCCCCAATGCGCGCTGTCTGAGATTAATTATTCTCGCTCTCTGATTCTACATGACAAACAACGAGTTTGTTTCAACTTAGGATTATTATAATCTAAATTATTAGAAGTAAATTAAAATAAATAGTTTATTATAATATATTATTACAATCTATAAGCTAGATTACTATAGTAATCCACTCTATAGGTGCTTTTTCTAGTTTATTGGGTGACTAACACCTAACAAACAGCTAATAATCTAGACAAACAAACAGTAACAACTTACTTCCTCCGGTTTTATTTTAATTGACGCTTTGGACAATAACACGCTTTACAAGATATACGTTTGACCTTATTTTTCTATTATAATATATACAATAAATAAATGTATGTTTACTTTTATTATAGTGTTTTGAAAGATAAATCTATATATGTTTTTATAGTTTCTCTAAACTAAATATTTTTAAAATTATTGATGGTCAAAATT